CAGCCTCGTGAGTCTGTCCAGCTGGGAGTAAAGAGGAGATCCACAGCCAGAAGTAAAATGAAGCTCTGTTTTTAAAATTTGGACAAATGTAGCATAACCCTCCAAAGAAGAGGGAGCAAGGCTTCCAAGAACCTGTGTGGGTTAAGGATGAGGGTCAAGGCCAAGGTTTGGCTGGGGACCCACACAGTGAAGCACACATGTAGAAAGACAGAGAAGGAGAGACACAGAGGGCTAGAAGCCAGAACCCAAGATAATTTACCCCAAAGCTTGCAGGGGTGAAGATAGGAGACCCCTCAGATAGTTGGTCTCAGCCAAAACTTAGAGAAAGAAAGAGACAGACCCCAATGATCCATGAGTAGGAGGATGAGTTAAAAGAGACCAATGATGATGAATGTAGTCACATTCCTTTCCTCAACGGGGGTCATCAGGTTCCCAACCCCAAGAGCAAGAGGCTCTCACCATCAGAAAAGCCATCGCTCTTCCCTTGGGCGAGGGTAAGTAAAATGATATCGAAACCTCGAGTTTCCATGTAGAACTATGTGCGAGGTGCAGGGTGTAAAGCCTCCCTTCCCCTGCTGTCACTGTATTACATACAGTGTCACACAGCAGTCCCTTTGAACCACACGGGGTATATGCTAAGACCCCAGTGAGTGCCTGGAACCACAGATGCACCAGACCTTATATATGTTACGTGTATTTTCCTACATGTGCACACCTGTGATGAAGTGTCATTTATAAATTAGGCACAGTAAGAGATGAACATCTAAATACAACAGAATAATTACAAGTACCATAATAGAAGTTTTGTGAACGTGGTCTCTCTCTTTCTCTCAAAATATGTTACTGTCCTGTCCTCAGCCTTCTCGGGACGATGTGAGATGATGAAATGCCTCTGGGATAGCATGAAGGAAGGTGCGTGACCCCAGCATGTGACAGAATGTCAGGCTGCCACTGACTTCAGACAACATGTCAGAAGGAGGGGCCTCTGCTTCCAGATGGGCCACCGATGGTTGTATGTGGGTAATTCAGACCACGGAAAAGCAAAACTACAGGTAAGAGGGAACTAATATATGTATGTAGAGCATACATTAGCCATTTTCTTGATTATTTTTTCAGTTGGACATATACAAGAACCATGAATCCGTTCTTCAGTTGAACAAACCTTTGGTATTCACAATGGGTACAACTTAAAAAAAGTCAAATTTGTGAACATGCTCTCGCTCATTTTTTTCCCCATGTAATGCATATGTAGCAAAGGCAGAAAACAGCCCAGATGAGGACGATGTGTTGATTAGGCTCATTCACAAAAACAAAAACAAAAAACCAAAACAAACAAACAAACAAAAAAAATGCTATTGTCTGGGAGGATGGAAATGTCCTAGAAAAATGCAAATCTCCCACAAATCAGACATCTTCAGGTCATCTCAAAAAACATGTAAACGTTTGAATATTAAACTAAAAAAATCTAAGTGGTCTGTTTAACTTCAGGAAAAAGCATGTTTGCAATATTGCGATATTATAATAGATTTGCATGTGGTACAATGTTGTACACTTTTTAATGAAATTCTACTTAAGTATAAAGAAATTCAACCCAAGTGCCTGGAAAAACATATTGTCAGCCAGACTCTTCATCCTTGGACTATTCTGAGCAATAGGGATGTCCTTGTTACTCACAGTGGACTCCTCCAACCACACCTGAGTTCATGGTCACCAACATTGTGATTATGTTTAGGATAATTCACGGTGGTGGTTGTGGGAAGGACAATCATGTACTAAGAGGCTTGGGGCTCTGAGCCAGATGGTATCAGCCTGACCTCCCAGCCTTTGGGAGGGGAAGGAGCTGAATATTGAGTTCAATCTGTATCCAGTGATTGAATTAATGATGCCTACATTGTGAAAACCCAGTTAAAACTCTAGACAGCAAAGTTCAGGCAAGCTTCTTGGCTGGTGATGCATGTGTCCCTGGAAAATGACACAACCTGAGGACACAGAAGCCTCACGTTCAACACCCTCCCAGATGATGCTATATGAGTCACCTCATTTGGCTGTTCCCAATCTGATCACTTAATAATACACTGTACTCATAAGCATATTGCTTTCTCATGTTCTGCGAGTTATCTCAGAGAATTATGCAAAATAAGATAAACCCCCAATTTATTAGCCAATTGGTCAAAGCGGGGGTGGCCTGGGGACACCGAGCTTGGGACGGGCATCAGAGGGGAGTTGGAAAACCATGGCTTCAAGCCACAAAGTGTGTGCTAACTCCTGGTGATTATGGTCAGAATTATATTCTACTGATACTTATATCAAATATTTTCTAAAAGATGGGGATGAAGGAGGGCACTTGTGTTGGTGCTGTTTGGAACTGATGAATCACTAAATGGTCCACCTGAAACTAATACTACATGGTATATTAACTAAGTGAAACTTAAACAAAAACTTAGAAAAACTTATATGTAGCTAAGATCTATACATTTAGCTAGAGGCATAGTTTACTATTAAAAGTGAACCCAGTTTTGACTAAGAAATGCATCTTGCCTTCTATAGTTTCAATTTTACTGATGGACAATAAATTTAAAGTTGTACACATGAAATAACAGGAAAAAAAAAAAAAGGTCTTTTCTCCTGGCTATTTCCAAAAACTCAAACAAGGAAGAGAAGATGAATTACTACTGTTACTCTTCCCCGCATATGTAGGCAATGTGTTTCCTTCTTTTATTATTGTTATCGTTTTTCAGTAAGTCATTCCTGCTGGCCTCAGTCAGTCAGTCACGCAACCGTCTGCGGGGGCTGTCCCCGCTCCCCGTCAGTGACGGGGACGTCTGAGTCTCAGAGCGCTCAGTAACACCCCCGTGCCTGAGAAACCCAGTGGAAAAACCAGTTCGACATTTTACCTTCTCTTTGAAAAGTCAGCCTAGTCTGAATATTAACTGAGAAATACAAAATCACACATCTGAAAGCTAAGTTCACATCGAGTGGTTACTCAAGAGAAGGTTTAATACAGGCTGGTGTATATTAATTGATAAATAAAAATAAATCTGAACAGTAAAATTTGAACTTCAGATAAAAAATGGCAAAACACATCCTTTTAAGTAAGTTTTATTTAAGAAAAGAATAAGGAAGAGAAAATATATTCACAGTACTGTACTCTATTTGTTAAAAAAAATCCATGTGTAAGTGATTCTATGGAGTCCAAGCCTGCATTGTTCCGAGCCATCTGTGTAACGGACACAAGCTCTGAACCACACGGTTCCGTTGCCTGGAACATTTCTGCTCCCCTTGATTTATCTGCCTATATTCTGCTGATCCGTTAAGATACTATACTTTTTCTGAGATATGTTATGACATCAGTTAAGATACACATATTTTTTATTTTTCTACCAAATCCTAGAAAAATATTACTTTGGACCTCCTTTAATACCCACGCCTACCTGGAGTGCTGCATATTTGCCAGAAGTTACAGATATTATTATTTATATTATTATTGTTATTAGGAATTATTCAAACATATTTTATTATAACTATTATTGTGTTTTGCTGTCTGGATACAGATTTTAAATCATGCTGTTGTTGATGCTATTTTACCATCAAAGACTTTCTTTTTTATTCCTAAGAACACAGGGCACTTGATGCACAGAGAAGGTACTTCAAGCCATCGCATGCTAAGCTGAACTGTGACAAGAGCTGTGTGGACCGGAGTGCATGAGTCTTCACAGGGAGAAGAAAAGGCAATGAAGCCCGAGGGACTGGGGGAATGCCGGGGATGGTGGAAGATAAAATCCCAAAAGATCCATGATACCAAGACAAACGAACATTAGATGGCATGTAAGAAATTACACATCAGAGTGGTGTTTATTGCACGAACTTTAAGTGGCCTCGTAAAAAATGTGTTTCTATTTGCTGGAATCCAGACACAGGATCTGGGGAGTCATTTAAGAGGAGGTGATTAAGTGAAAGGTGCGGGCGCTGCGCATGGCCAGCCGCCGTCCACCAGTGTTTCTAACCCCCTGAGCAGCGGCAGAATAGAGACGCGTGGAGATGCGCACAGAGAAGCCGGCAACATAGTCCAGCCTGGGCGACACAAGCTGTGATCTGTGGGCTGGGGGACACTCCTAGAAAAGCAATTTTTTCTCCGTACAATTCTGGATGATTCTGAAATGTGTGTGCATCTTTGTTCGTCACTTGTAACGCAAGGTAGCAGTAGTACTGAGTGCAGAGTGCTGGTGTGGGACTCAGCCTGGCCACTCGGGGCTCAGGGGAATCACTGATGCTGACGAGTGTGAAGGGCATGATGGTGATGCTGACGGCGGCTACTGGGTCAGGAGTGTGGGTGCATCTGTGCCAAACAGGGTGGAAGAGGCAGGGGAACCTGCCAGGATGAAAGAAAGGGCAGACCGAGCTCAAGGGCACTGGGTATGGTAAAGGCGGGGAGGGGACTGCCACGGCCAGTGTGGAAGCGATGTGTGCAGAAGTTGCAGGTGGGAGAAAGAGCAAGGAAGGACTGCATGGCCGCTGGCCACGGTTCATGGCAGGTGGCTCATGAGTGAGGCGGCATCTCTAGCAAAGGGTTGAGATTTCCTGCGATGCTGATGGATCAAAACACTTGCAAGTCTCAGGCCTGAGTGTCCCCGCTGCGGACTGCCATTTTCCTGGACTGCCTAATCTCAAAGGACGTGTCTTCTCCAGAGCTGAGAACCGTGACCTACTCTCTGCTCTGCCCCCACATCCTGTTAGTTACTCTCACTGGGTCCCTTGGCCCTGGCCTCAGCCCATCACCTGCAAACGTGCTGTTACCTGCCACTTCTGCCCTGGGAACAGAGCTGGCCCTTGGCTCACCTGTTGTGTGATGGGCTTCTCCAAGATTTCAACACTAGCCACGCTATTACGGGTCTGCAGGAGTTTGCTAGGAAAATGTCCACATCGATCTTTTTGTTGCTGTTGTTCCTGTGCTAGTGTTTGATGATTCACAAACAAAGTCTGGGGAGCTGGTGTCATCTTACCTGAGAAACTTCCCAGCCTGGGCGCTGCCATGTCACCGCCATCGTAGATCTCCAGAGAGTCCCAGTTCTGCTCGGTGGCAAAACTGATGACTTGAATCTAGCAAACAACAGTTTTCGGTTAGTGTGTGTGCTTTGATTAAAGAAATGAGCCTGATCATGGGGGGTTTTCCCATGAAACTGAATATATATGCATAAGAGAAGCGTGAAACCTAGGAGAATAAACCATGAAAAGACATTTGAAAATTTCTACAAATGATACTTTTGACTGCTTTTATCCTAAAAATCTATCATTGTTATCCCAAACAGAAAAATGCAATTAGAAACGCATTGCAGAAGCAGTAAGAAAAGGGAGACAGGCTATGGTTTAAATATTTAAAATAACCATTGCAAAATAAAAAAATAAACCAATGCAAAAATAAATAAATAAAATTACCAAAACTAAACTAAAATAAACCAATGCAAAAAAAAATAAAATAAAATAACCAATGTGGAAATAAATAATAAAATAGAATAAAATAACCAATGCAGAAATAAATAATAAAATAAAATAAAATAACCAATGCAGAAATAAATAATAAAATAGAATAAAATAAAATAACCCAGGCAAACACAGAAAGCAAGCACAGCGCTGGCGAAACCATGTGCGCTCAGGCATTATGGGCATGAGGGGCTTACCTGAATCCCTGATCCCTCTGTAACTATGATTTTCCAGATACAGTTTAAGTTGTTACCATAGGGTTCCGGGTAGCCGGGGGATAAAATTGTACCTCTGCGCTGAGTGAAATTGCCACTGCAGGGGACTAAAAGACAAAACCATATCTCATAAAAATAAGGACCGCGAAGGACAGCATGAATTTGATGCCTCACCGTTCTTTGCCATGTGATCAGATAGTCAGAGGCCTGCAACGGCACTTGTAGCCAGGGTCAGATTGAGTCTGTTCTCTTAGAAACTCACAGCATCATTGATTATTACCTACCAATATTACCAGGTTATAGATCTGGTGTCTAAAAGTTAATTTCTTCAAGCTCTCTAAGAGGGGTAGTACCCAGAGGCCTGCAACGGCACTTGTAGCCAGGGTCAGATTGAGTCTGTTCTCTTAGAAACTCACAGCATCATTGATTATTACCTACCAATATTACCAGGTTATAGATCTGGTGTCTAAAAGTTAATTTCTTCAAGCTCTCTAAGAGGGGTAGTACC